TTCACCAGTTTGCTCATTCAACATGAAAAAGTCAACAAAATGAAGTGCTCCGGGGTTTATAGCCTAAACTGCAAAGACCGTAATCAAAAATAAATCGGAGAGACGGAAATGACATTCAGCACAAGGACCAAAGAAGAAAAAGGACTGTGAAGAAAAATGGATACGAAAAGATCAGAGATAGCTGAATACATTCTCCTTACCAGCCACCCAATTGTCTGGAGGACAACAGAGGGACTGACCTCATAGGAGGAGAAAACCAGAAAACGGAAGATCAGGAAAGCTGTGAATATCCTCTATCAAAGAATCCTGATGAACAGGAGATTGAAAGAGGGAGGAGTCAGCGATAATTTCGCTTACTGACTGGGTAGACTGGGAGATTCAGCGAGCACAGCAAAAAGAAGACGCGTTGACCAAGGACAAATATTAACTGGCAGAATGAGACATCGCCAAGAAGATAATCATGGGGTACTAAGGGAACTCAACAAAAGGCGATTGTCGTGAGAGGAGTCATACCTGGAATCATCATAAAAGGTACCGCTGTGGATCCAATTGTGGGGTGTTGGATAGGACAATAAAGACCCAAAACATCAAGCTTACACACCATTAGAGGTGCTAGGCTAAATCTATAGGTCCCTATGAAATTCGTTAGGGTGTGGAAGATACTTAAGCATGAGCATCACTGGCTCTATATCCTTGAATATGACGTAAACGGGACGGTAATTGCAGGCTCATAGATAGCCAGAATTCAGACAAGCAAACAGTGATTTTAATGTTTAACTGACAAGCGGGATGAAGGGAACCTATTTAAAAGTCTAAAACTGGTGTTGAATGTGATTATGATTCACTAAATAAATTTTTATCCACGCTTAGGTGGCAATGGAGGAAACGAGGACACTGAATTGTAGGAATAAGCAAATGGATCATATGAAATGTGGTTGAGAGAAAGTTATGCAGCACCAAAAGGTAGAAAGAAAAATAGCGACGAGGAGTGATGCCTCATCGGTTTAACAGACAATTGGTCTAGGGGACTGCCTTCACTTGTCGCTCTGATAGGTTGTTACTCTGTTCTAGCGCTAGCGCCTCTCAGTGACGATGCAAAACGACTGGGATGGAATGTACCAAGTCAGTAGTACGATGTTAAATATCATGAATTATATGGTAGAGGACGCAGAACTAGGTACGTTCTCAAAAGTATCCCTGACTCTGAGCAAGTCGCGAAAACAAGGTCAAGCCAACGCAATGCAATTAAAGTAAGTAATCCAGGAGAGAGAACCGCCCATTAACGACAATGCTTAAAGAAATGCAAACAAATGAAGAAATCGATAGATGGACGATTAATTCACTAATAACGAATACCTCAGATACAGATAGCCAAATGATTATCAAGTGTTCTGAAAGTAAAGGAACCACTTACGCTAAGCCAATAAAAAGTATGGAGCAACGGAGAAAGTGAATAAAATATATGCTTGAAGCCCAACAAATCAAACAACAGATAATCATTACAAGTTAAAAATTCATGTACATTTTATCTTGGGACTGGAAGGAATAGAATTATGGCTAAGTTCTAATATGCAATTTGCCCATACAAATATCTAATGAGAAAAGACAATAACGGCCCTGCTAGAAATGATAGACTGTAAAGAGTATATACTGAGAGTGGAAAAGATATAGCGGAATCTTACAGGAAGGCAGAGAGGTCTTGCGAGGATAAACTATGGTCTGAATTCTGTAAATGCATCTAAAGCCCCGATCAAACACTACTTACACCTGAACTATTAGTAACCACTCCACCCAATGAATGAAATGGTCGAGACAGGTTAGCCTAACCTTCTTTTACCAGACTACAGCATTACAATGGATACAGCTGCATTACTATTAGCATGATGTAGTTCAGAAGATACGGCACAGATCATCGATACTATGACTCTTGAAAACGGATCAAGGAATGAAAATCGGCATTAAAAAAATGAAAACTTTATTGCTTGATTGTCTCCTGGTAGTCTGGCGTAGACATAAAATCGGCTCGTCAAAAGTCAGTAATTTTAGGATCATAGCCAGACAATTTTGACATAGCAACTAACTTCTATTGTCTTTATAAATAATTCCCAAACTTAATTCTCACCATTAAATCCGTTGAAAATGGGTATACGAAACATATTTTTTCTGATCACTATGTCAATATCTAGATTGCTTGAAAGTTTTTTGAACTCTTTCTTCACAATAATATAGAAATGGTTAGATTTTCAGCTCACGTGGGACCCTTCCGAATTCGATGGCCTAAATAGTGTTGCACTTCCGTCATCCATGCTATGGAAACCTGATATCGTTCTATTCAACAAGTAAGCTCAAAGAAGAATTTTCTAGCCCCCTTCATTTATGCATGTACATCCATAAAACCTTTATCTCTCTACTTTAGCCTTGTAATCTTATCCTTCTGATAAGCTTCTTAATTATCTTGTTGTTTTGATTGTATATCTGGCACAGATGGGCCAATTAGTGGGTCATTCACTCAGTTATGAAAAAGCCGCTACATTCACGGGGATTATAGGCCAACTCATGAAAGCCCCACTTTATCGGATAGTGGCAGAATAAAAGTATTGGTGGAGAAACGATTAAGAGCACAGCCAATCTGCAATTTTGGCACAGAATAGAATTGAACAAAGCCTTATAGCCCATTGAAGGTGGTCAAGATTCCCAAGCCGGTCTTGGATCACGTTAAATAATTATTCAATCTGTATCTCTATCACGCATGGTGATAAAGACATGCAACCTTTGTCTAGAGAGTTGCCAAGAGAGATTTCGATACTTACTTAATTTTCTACAATTAATCTACTTTGGATATGGATATATCCACAGCACAATAACAAGTTATGCCTCAATCACCTCTAGGTTGCCGGTGAGCCCATACTGTCCGGGAAAGCAAAAAAATTCCGAAAGTTGCTGTGTTTGGACGCATATTGCTGAGACACTTTCTTAAATCAAGATGGATAGAACCAAATGACTATAGGCGAATTGATAACGGTTCGACTGATAAAGCTTTCGAGCAACAGGGCCTCTGGTCGGAATTTTAAGAATTATACTTCACTAAATTAAAATAGCATATTTATCCCCTATATGCTTCATAAGTCGGTTAAATCCTAAAGAATTGGTGATGAAAGTAGTGGTTTGAATACCCTGTTATTTCGTGGACGATAATAAGGGTAGTGAATGCCGGGAAAATATGGCCTAATTTTATATGAATAAACATCGAAATTCATTATGAATAAAAGACAATTTAAAGAGGAAGGAATAAACACCATTGAACAAAGAGGCTTTAATTCAAGAGTAATCCTAGACCATTAAATATGGGGCCGATGTTTTGACAAAACCAGTCTTCACCTGAAAAATTGAATCTACACAATAGGATCGCACAATTGCTAAACTCCCCGAAAACTCAATTTAATATGATCGAATTCAGATAACGTCCCTCCTCATGTGCAAAACTGATGCAAGGCGCTGGCAAATATTTTTTTATTCAGAGCGTCAGCTCTGGAAATGGGATTGATGCAAATTTAAATGATTTAATTTATAAAATATACCAGATTATTTTTGTTTTCAAGTAGGTTTTCTAGACTACCATAATTGTTCTAGAATTGAGCAGGTTTTCGAGACTTACACTGAAATTATTCATAGATTGAGCCAAAACTGCTACAAAAACCAGGATTCGAATGTTTGCCAGCAGTCCCTATAGAGCTCTAATAAATCAAATTTTCACACTTATATTTCAGTGCTGATGGCAAGTATGAGGTGTCCTGGAATCCAAATATAATCATCCACGACAAAGGGGAAACATTGTACGTTCCGCCCTCAATTTATAAAAGTTCTTGTGAAATCGACGTGAACTACTTTCCTTTTGATCAGCAAACCTGTGACATGGAAATAGGCAGCTGGACGTATAATTCCGAGGAGGTAAGATGGGCAAGACCAAGTAATTAACTTCACCCTAGCTCTAACTAAAACCGCTCAATTCATAAAAGAATCTCTGCTTATTTATTCAATTGTTCGTTATAAAACAGGTTAATTTCAAATTCTTTAACAATATGACCCACATGGACTTGACTGACTACGTCAAAAGTGGTAGCTGGGATATTGTTGACACGAGCGCTGAGCTACGTGACATCTCCAGGAGACATGAGCATGACGAGACCACTAAAGAGGAAGAAGTGGGCGAATTCATAAGGGGGCGGCTGTCAATTGGAAGTCCTCCGAAAAAGAATCTTTTCTTCACGGTGGTAATTCGCCGAAAGCCGCTCTTCTACTCCGTCAATCTGATTGTGCCCTGTGTCCTGATAGCGCTACTCAGTGTATGTGTCTTTTATCTGCCTTCTGAGGCCGGCGAAAAGGTCACTCTGTCCATTAGCATTTTGTTGGCTCTTGTCGTATTTCTATTGCTGGTGAGCAAAATCCTGCCAGCTAATTCAGTCACGCTACCGTTGATTTCAAAGTTTCTGCTCTTCACATTCAGTATGAATTTCATTGCAATTGTGGTCACGGTAGTCATCATAAACTGGAACCACCGCAGCCCACGAACCCACCCGATGCCACCTTGGGTGCATTTTCTATTTATCAAGACCTTCCCCAAGCTGTTATTTCTCAAGAGGTTAGCAGTGAACCTAATTTGCTCCTATGTTACTGAGAAATGTAGAATGAATTAAAAATGTGATGTCCCATGGCTATTAATAGTTTGGGTGGATTTATATTCTCTAATAATAAATAACCTACTAGTTTAACGTATCCACAACGGGGTGGTATTCCTCTCAGTACATGCATATCTGTCGTGAAAGCCTGAATATTAATGAGGTACGGGGGCGCCCTTTTTAAGTAAAGAGCGTTAATAAGGAGTTTTAAATATTAGCCTTCATCATCACTACAAACCATAAGCAGAAATCGAGTGGTTAGACTTTATTAATTTGTAATTATGGCCAGTTAATAATCACGGTTGCATGTTTCGAGCTAAAAATTAGTCCTTCGGTGAGCGAATGTTAGCTATAAATCCCTTAAAATGCATTTCAATTCGGAGAGAAAAAGCAGAGTAACATCGGGAAATCCAAAGATATTCCGTAAAAGAATAACATCCTTTACATTTTTCTATCAAAGGCTATGAACTCTCTACTTTTAGCTTTTATTAGAACTCGAATTAACATTATCACGATGGTCCTCTTAGCTTCCACCCCGTATGATCTCTTAGTATCCATGATCATTCATTTCTTCACGGGGTTGTAGGTTTTAGTAAGTACCATTGTAATGATA